TCCGGATGGTGCCTTGATGAGCTTGTGCTGATCCTTGAACACAAGAGGACCACCTCGAACCATGTAGTTTTACCAGTCTTCTACGATGTCGATCCGTCCCACTTGAGGAAGCAGATGGCAAGTGTTGGAAAAGCATTTGCTAGACACGAGAGGACTCAGTCGTCGAAAAGGGTGAAGGGATGGAGAGAGGCAGTTGCAGAGGTTGCAGATCTAGCAGGCATGGTCTTACAAAATCAAGATGATGGGTACCTTTCATTTTCTCCATTTCTCTCCTCTTTCTTCAGTCAATTTGGTAATATGATCCGTAGGACCTTGATTTATATTAATCAATCTCAGTAGTGAATAATAATCCCAATTTAAAGAAATCACATTTTCCATGGTAGTCTACATGAAGGACCTAAGACACAAAAAGTAAACAAAAACTCTCAATTTTTGTCTAGAATCTTATCTGCAAGAAAATCGAATTATTGTTGAAACTTGGATTCGAATCAAAACATTGATTCAGAGCTCTAACAATCCAAAATAGTCACACAGCGAACAATTTCTCAAATAACGAAGTCAATACTGGACATATATACACCAAAGAAAAGTCGAAAACCTAGCTTCAAAGTTGGACATAAATTCAAATAAGTACTTATAATCAATTGAGAATAACTCTAAAATTAAAGCAGCACATCCCTCTCTCTCTCTCTCTCTCTCTCTCTCTCTCTCCCTCAGCCTTATGTCTTTTATTTTTAATTTTTTTTACTACTACAGGTCCACTATCCACTGTCCGCCTTATGTCTTAATAAAACACATATAACATATCAAACACTAGAGAGAAGATCTACACTTTAGTTCATCAAAAAAAAAAAAAAAAGCCTACCACTTTCCAAATGAAAAAAAAAAATTAGTCTCATTAGGATGGTTTATTACCCATGACATGTTTGATTTATTTTTTTTTCATTTCGTTTGTAAATTCTTAGGTACGAATCAAAGTTTATCAAAAAAATTGTTAAAGTGATTGGAGGCAAGTTAAGTCGCACACCATTGAGTGTTGAACCAAAATTGATTGGAATCAAATCTCAAGTCAAAGACATCAATTTGTGGCTACAAAATGGATCAAGTGATGTTGGTATACTTGTTGTGTATGGCATGTCAGGAATAGGGAAGACAACCATTGCAAAACATGTTTACAATTCAAATTTTATTGGCTTTGAAAGAAGTAGTTTCATTGAAAATATCAATGAAAGAGCTGATCGACCAAATGGCTTAGTTCAAATACAAATGCAACTTCTTTCCGATATTTTGATCGGTTGCGAAGTGAAAATACAGACTGTTAGTGAGGGAATAATTAAGATTGAAAGCGCCATAAGCTCTAGAAAAGTTCTACTTGTTCTTGATGATGTGGACCGTATGGATCAATTAGATGCAGTACTAAAAATGAAAGATCGGTTTTATCCCGGAAGTAAGATACTTATAACAACTAGGCGTGAAAGATTGCTAAGAGCACATCAAGTTATAAAGGTGTACAAAGTTGAAACTTTGAATTACAATGAATCACTAGAGCTTTTCAGTTGGCATGCATTTGGCCAGGATCGTCCCACAGAAGATTACATGAAGCATTCAAAAATGGTAGTGCAACATAGTGGCGGACTTCTATTAGCTCTTCAAGTTTTGGGTTCTTCTTTATCAGGGGAAAGCATGGGTGTATGGGAAAGTGCCTTGGAGAAGCTAAACGTTATTCCTAATGGTGAAATCATGAATAAACTAAGAGTAAGCTATGACAGTTTACAAGATGACCATGACCGAAAATTATTCCTCCACATTGCTTGTTTCCTAATAAAAAGGAACAAAAACTACATTGCTAAGATACTTGATGGATGTGATTTCTATACAATTGTTGGCATTCAAAATCTCATTGATAGATGCTTGGTGACAATTGATAAATACGGCAAGGTGAATATGCATGACATGATTCGTGACATGGGGAGAGAAATTGTTCGTCTAGAATCAGAAGAGCCTGAGAAACGTAGTAGACTATGGCGCCATAAGGATTCTTTCCAAGTATTGAGGGACAAGAATGTAAGAAACATGCCTTTAATGTCTGTATATGTATTTCTTCTTGTGAAAATTATTCATACTAACGTTTTCCGCTTTTTCCTTTAGGGTACAAAAAAAATCCAAGGTATTGTCCTGAATATGCTTATGCTTCCTGCACATAGTCCAATAAATACAAATGAGACAGTCTTGGAAACCAATGCATTTGAAAAGATGCGCAAATTACAGCTACTACATCTTAGTCATGTACGACTGGATGGATGTTATGCAGATTTCCCTACAAGATTAAGATGGTTGTGTTGGCTTCAATTTCCATTGGATTCTATACCTATTGATTTTCCTTTGGGGTGTCTAATTGTTCTTGACATGCAATATAGTAGCTTGAGACAAGTCTGGAAAGGAACAAAAGTATGTTAGTCTACGCATTTCAATTCAGTTTTTTATTTTTTGACCAATTGCATATGTTAAAATTAACTCCTACACATTTTTTTTTTAAATTTTACACAGTTTCTTCCATCATTGAAGATCCTTGACGTCAGCCATTCTCATGCCCTCACTGAAATCATGGACTTCTCACTTTGCCCCAGTCTAGAAGAACTAATTCTTGTAGATTGCACAAGCCTGATTAATGTTCATGAATCCATTGGAAACCTGGAGAGGCTTGTGTACTTAAACGTGGAAGATTGCACGAATCTTAGGATGCTTCCGAAGAACATGTGTTTGCTTAAATCACTTGAAACACTCATTTTATCGGGTTGCTCAAATCTTGATGAGTTTCCAATGGAGATGATGAAGAAGATAGCTCTGAAAGTTCTTGAAACAGATGGAATTCCATTAAGTGAATTATGGACAGAAAGAAGTTCAAGTATCTTGAGTTCTTTTCCATGCTCTTTAGTAGGGTTGAGTCTAAAGGGGTGCAATCTTTCTGATGATGCCTTTTGTAGGGATTTAAGTAGTCTATCCTCGTTGCGAAGACTAAAGTTAGGTGAGAATCCAATTTCCAGTCTGCCAGGTTTCATCAAGGGTTTGAGGAGGCTCGATAAACTCTCTTTCAAGGGTTGTGATAGGCTCGAATCGCTTGTGGGGTTGCCGAGAGTACACAAAAAGATGGATGTATCCGATTGCATATCATTGAAAGAAGTAACATATCAATCGTTTAGAGGGTTCCAACTAAATGCCTTTGCGAGAGAAAACTACAACGTAGTTGAGTGGGAGTACCATCACAAGTTAGAGCCTATTGATAGAGTTGATGCAGAAATGATCAAACTTTTGGGCTTGTGCAACTTGGGATCCATGCCTGCAATTCGAATGAACAGCCCAAAGGGTTGCTTTCATTCAAAAGAGGATAGGTGGAGTCCCGTCCAGGTGCGCTCTCTCTCTCTCTCTCTCTCCCCCCTCTCCCTTTCTCTCATAAGTCAAATATATAATGGGAAATAAATGACTCAGTAATGTTGTGATGATCATGGAAAATGCATAGGGACTCTATCAATTTGGTATATTCAGCACATTTTTTGTTGGGAATGAGGTTCCAGGCCAGTTCAGCTATAAAAGTACCAAGTCCTCCATATCTTTTATTGTCCCTTTACTCATTGCTAGTCACAAAATCCGAGGCTTAAACATCTCTGCTACCTATGCAAATGAGGAGAATTCTAATTATATTGATGATGGTTATAAACGTCCAATAATAATCAAAGTGAGTAACAAGAGCAAGGGTCTGAAGTGGATCTATGTCCCAGCTTTCTACGGTATTCCAGAAGAGGGAGAAGATATGATATGGTTAAGCCATTGGAGGATGGAGAGTGAAACAACATTACAATGTGGAGATGAAGTGCTTGTTTTAGTACTCTTGAGCCTTGGTAAGTTTCAGCTCAAGGAGTTTGGTGTCGAGCTTGTGCAAGAGCACCAGAATAATATGATGATAAGTACCCAACACAACATCAAATCAGATCCTAATTACCCTTTTGTCATCGGTGGAGATTTGTCCATGTGGGAGTATATACCAGGAATATACTTCCTCGGTTGCGATAAAGAAACTGTTGAAGACACTGATGTCTTTTCGCAGAGATTTTTAAATTGCCTGATCATGGACACTGATGAAGAAGACACAGGTATGCTGTGTCGTTGTTGTATTGCAATGAATTATACTGCATCCAAACACTTCCAAGTCCATCTGTATTCAATCCAAAAACATAAATTTTATGTTATTTGTATGTTTTTCAGACAAAGAAAAAGGGCAAGAGGATGAACCTAATTACACAATTGCAAGGACGAGGGCTGCCAGTAACAACTGCAGCCTTGGAGGCTGGAAGGTGCTCCTCACAGCTGCCGGCTTATTTTTCACGCTTGCTCTAGTAGTTCGGTCCTCCATCTCCCAGAAAAAAAAGCGACTCTAGTCCACAAGCCATCCATGAGTTTGTAATTTTATTTGATACAGACATATCTTTGGATTCCCTCCTTGTTTTTAAGATGTTTTCTGCCTTCAAAATATCGAAGTTCAAATGTGTTCAAAATCATCAAATATTGCATAAAATACATCCTACATTAGCGATGCTTAAAATTTTTCTTCCCTGCCACTGATTGCATACAATCATGTACCAGAGAAGATAAACAAATGATTCTATAGCAGCAGTAAATAATTGGGAAAAAAAAATGATTCTAAACATACAAGGGAAGGACTTTGACATAGGTATCTTTAGCAATACCAGGCAAAAATCAATTCTTTGAACTGGGGGAAAATATTTTGGCACCGGGGAAAGTGAAAACATCCTATCTGCTTATAAATGTCAAATTTACTGGTGTTAATTGTCATTTACAACAAAATCATGCTTCGTAAAAGATTCGGCTCCCATTGAAAAATTATGTAAATTACATAAATATCAGTACAACAGATATTAGATTGACTAATATATCAAATAAATTAAGAGCAGACAATTTCTTAGCCTGCGATCTAAGGACTATACAGCTGATTCAGCCTTGCGTTGCTACTACACTACGAAAGCTGGTTTCTGCTTCTTCAACCCGAACAAATTATTAAGGTCAGGAAGCATAGGAGAAACGACCACGGTCTCTGGAGCCATGAAATTTTCTGTCTTCTCATAAACATTGTCACTGCTAGCTTGTTCCATTTTTAAAGTTACAAAAACACAAAAACTTGAACAATAGAAGTTCGGGATCGATTAGGTTCCAAGCCCACTATAAGCTGAGCAATACAGTGTCATTGACTTCAATGGCTGCAGATACAGATTGTTTGAATAAAACTCTCCTCATGACTCAGATTTAGTTCTTAAAGTTGGTTAGACGAGTCCGAATTGTCTGAAAATCATGTTCATCAACTCCACATATCCAAAGCAGCAAATTAAGGAGGATACCGGACATCACTTAGGACAATACAATCCTTAACAATTTCCAAAAGCCACAGTTTTTATATGCAATCTGATTACATGTGTTTTGAACTACAGGAAATCTTATAGATTGGGTAAACCGTATATCAAATTCAAATGCAATCATTCATATATGAAGTATGAGATGCCCAATAGTTTTACCAAAAGTTGCTGGGTCAATTGTCTCAAAACATTCTTTTAGAAATTGCTGGTAAAACTCAGAGTCATCCAAGGGGTCACCATCAGCTTTTGCACCAGCATCAGATTGTGTCTTATCAGAGTGAAGGAATAAAAGTACTTAACTTGTGCAAATAGAAATATAACTTTTATAACACATCAAAGAGATAATTAAAGCAAACCTTACAGGCTACACATCGAAGCGGCAAACGAATACTAATTTTAAACATAAAGATGCAATTAAAGGTAATGGCGCATGAAGAGTATTGAAACCGTCACAGTCCTCACACACAGGTTGCATGATCTTTTCTTGTAGCAATAAAAGAAACAAATTCATCAAGTCACATTGGGCCATCCAAAAAGAAAAATGAAGCAAAGTACCAAACACCACAAACAACCCAAATTTGTTCAAACGTAGTATCAAACTAATTATAGACTGCATCCATCCCAAACAATTAATTTGTACCTCATTTGGGAGTTAAAAACTTACAACAGCACATGGAAAAAACGTAAATTCCATGGACATTCGATTCCAATGAACTTACATGCAATCAGTATAGGATTATAGTTGACCACAATTACATGCAGTCAGTACCTCTCCCTTTGCAGAGTTGTACCCCTCAGGAACCTGCACATCCACAACTTATGTTTAAGTTAATGTACAAAACTTAAGAAAGCCCCATCTTGTTATGATGTTAAAATTATGAAGCAAAAATGAGCATGCACGTGACAGTCAATATCTTACAGGTACCAAATACAGCAACTGCTGATTTCCTCATCTGCATCTGCCTAACCATTCTGCTTGGATCTCTCATATATGAAGCAACTTGTTCGCTAATATTCAGCGATTGGGAAAGGAAAAATGTATTCCTGGTGAATATCTGGCAAAGCATGGCACAAGTCCTTCATAGGGAAAGGCATGGTTACAAGTTCAATTATAGAGCCAGACTTGATTAAAAGCATGCAGTTTGCTTTTAATAGCAGCAGCATCTGTGGTCACCTCTGTCTTCCTCTGCCATTTGTTTATCAATTTGTTTCTGAAAGTAGCATTCTACAAGATACAACGTGACAGGCCTTAGTTAGACCAAGTAACCAACATGGAAATGTAAACAATAATGAAAAGTTGAACATAGTAGAACAAATTTCTAAAATTCATGCAAGAGAAGTTGTCGGAGCATGAAAGAATTCACAGCAGAACTGCCCAAGAGTATACTTAAATTAAACATATGGCAACATAGATTTTTTACAAGTATAATTTACAAATGCATTCCATGGTTCTTTGCCGGCCCCTTTAGATAACTAATTTAATTTAGTGCCTAATGGAATTTAAATTTCAGAAAACTATCGTCTGGTATATTTCATATTAAATAGTTGACAAACTTTATAACATAATAGCGTCATTTATTAACTGATACGAACCATGTAGTAAAATATAACAAAAGTTAGACACCAAGGCATTGAAATACAGCAATAATAGTAAGGTACTTGATTGAATCCACCATTTACGAGAATTTTAACAATAAAACAATAAAACTTCGAAGTTCTTTTTGCTGCTCCAAATGGATCAGCGAAGTATGGCATGAAGAACGGAAAAAAAAAATTCAGTTTTATAGATAGACTTCAATACAGTAAGAGCATATGTACATAGTAGAATATGATTCTTCTTCTCAGAGTATCTAATTATGATTTGAGTACCTCGACAGCAACTCAGAAATTCATGACCAATCCTCATCACCATCACCATCACTGCCAATGTTTTTAGATGACTGTGACATCTTAGATCGTCCAGATTTACCTACAGAACAGGATATGTATTAGGAAAAGCAATACATGAACATATGCAGTAAGAAGTTAATGAAAATGCAAACAGTACAAAGTGGGACAGTCAATTAGACCATGGTAGCCCCAATGCCAACTTTTTTTGCTAAATGATGCTAAGTTTTATATGAGATCAAGCAGGAAAGATATGTATTGACATCCTAGGGGCTTTTTGAAATCTGGCTTCATCTTTGCTGTCCTTAGATCAACAAAACATGGCTGCCCAACCGATTTACCTTCCATGCCAACATTATGCTTTTGACAACTGCAACAAATACCTACCTCTATAGTGGTGATTTAATTGATGTTTCTGTAATCAAACTCCCAAAGTGTCTACTGTTTGTTGAAAACAACTGAATTTCTGACCAATTGGACTACTTTGAACTTCCCAAAGTGTAATATCTTTAGTAGAACATAACCTGGTCAATCCAGTAAGTTTTGTGCGAAACTCATTGAAATTCCTTACCATTGAGGTAAACTTGTGGCTCATTTTCTGCACATTGATGAGGCCGTTCCAACCCAGACTCAGCTTCACCTATAGAAACAGAAATTAACTAGGACAAAGCAACACGATGCATTGTCTCTCTTCAAGCTTGAGAAAATGACATACCTTGCAAGAACCCAAAGAACTTGACATGTTCATGCTCCGGCCAATAATATCCATCAGCATATGTCCATTTTAGTACACGCCTATATTCAACTATTTGAAAATAGAGAAAATTTAATAAGAAAAAGCAGTAAACTCTTGGTAGAAAAGTGTGGTAATTTGTGGTGTACCTGTAGCCAGGCCTCTGTAATGAACTTCAACTGTGACTCAGGTTGGCACTACGGGCTGGTTTGGTATTGCTGTGCTTTAAAAAAAAGCTGCTGTGAGAATAAGCGGTTGTGCTGTGAGAATAAGTGACTGTGAAATAAATCAGCAGAGCGTTTAGTAAACTTTTTTGTAAAAGTGGTTTTGGAAAAAAAGCAGTCTGATAGTGGGTCTTTTCATTAAAGGAGCACTGTAACTCCGTGAGCTTTGAAACAAAACCAGTTTTCCAAAGCTGCAAATAGCAGCTTCAGTTTTTTCCTTTGATTTCAGCTTATTCTCACAGCAGCTTCCAAAATAAGCCCTCACAGCTTTTTTTTTTTTTTTAAACACCGCACACCCACTCATCTACCCCGCTCCCTTCCTTCTCTCCTTTCTCTCATCTGCACTTTCTCTGTTACAGCTTCACTCTGTCCGGGAAGTCATCGTCAAAATCGACGAAGGCGCAGATTCGTTCACAAGCACCAGCGACCTGCCAAAAGTGGCAGGAAGATTTGGCGGCAGTCCAGCATCGATTTCTGGCACGAGGACGGCAACGGCGATGCCGAGAATTTTGATTTCGTGCAGCGAGGGAAGACGGAGGAGGTGAATGGGGAGGATCCGCCGTCGAAGCTGATTGCAGCGAGCCTCCGGCGATAAGACGCTGGATATGGATTTGGAGATGGAGGAGCTGTAGCAGAACGAGCGCGATTTGCCGCCCCTCGCCGAGTCGCCGAGTCCGAGAAACTTGTGCAACTCGAAGGAGCTCAAAGTCTCGTATCAATTGCCGGCGTCGGACCTCACCGATACGCCGCAAACTGAGTCAGTTCAGAGGCGATACAGAGAGTCCCCTGACGAGGAGCGACGCCGCAGCGAGAGGTTGGGCAACGGACAGGACGACGTCGTCCGGTGCACTTCCAACTCCTCATTCCGCCGAGAGCCTTCGTTCTCGAACAAGTCCGATTTGTTGAGAATAAAGACCAAGTCCAGACTAATCGACCCGCCGGAGGAGCCGGATTTCAAGTCGGGTCGGATCTCGCGATCGGGACAGATGAGGTCCGGGTTGCTGGGCCGCGGCGGCGACGACTCGACGACCCATTTCTGGAGGAGGACGTGCCGCACGAGTACAAGAGAGCGAACTTCAACGCATTGACGCTGCTTCAGTGGGTAAGCTTGGTTTTGATCATTGGGGCACTGGTTTGCACGCTGACGATTCCAGTTCTGAGGGAGAAGAGGAGGGAGGGAAGAGGAGGGAGGGGGTCGGGAAGGGTGGGACAGGATGCCCAGAAAAAAGTTTTTTTTTTTTTACTTTTTAAAATTTTTTTTTTAAGCTTTTATTGACGTGGCCGTCACGTCATCAATTAACAACTGACCGAACATCCAACTTAACGGATGTACAAAACTGTTCCAAAAAATTAAGACATGAGATATGATTGGACTGAAAATAACTTCATGTACCAAATATTAAAATTCACAAAATTACAAGATAGTAAACTGAGATTAACCCAAAAATAAAAAGAAATTCATGCACATGAAGCCTATGATAAATGTCAATTAATTGACATTAAGTCAAAGAAAGTATCTGCTAAAGCATATTCAGTTCTCCCGTCCTATTCTGATAACTGTCCGAACCATGAATAAGATACGATTGGATCATCATCCAAGAAATGGTACAGGTCGTTCGCATCCTCAAATAGAATTTTCCTGGTGCAACATAAAAGCATTGTTGAAAGCGAATCAGGATTCTCTCCTGAGCACATGGTCAGGATCCTCCTGACCACGCCCATCGGGTCGTTCAACTTTTATCTAACGGTTATAATTATTATAACTTTTAGAGGGCCCCCTGTTTGTAGCAGTTGGATAAAATTTAAACGGTCCGATGAGCCTGATCAGGAGGATCCTGACCATGTGCTCAGGAGAGGATCCTGATTCGTTGAAAGCAACGGAAGAAAATATGTCAACAATGGCATAATATATGTGAGGTAAGTTGGTTTGACATGAAAAAAAAAATTGTAATTGTCCACTCATATTTCACGCCTTCATTGTATAAGAAAAATGTCAGTCCAACCACTTGTAGATCAAATGAAATTTTGCTTGAGTATTTTTCTTTGAACTTCTTTCCACTCAAAATTTCCTAGCAATAAAAAACAAAGTGAAAGAGAATATAAAGGCGCTTCAAGGCAAACTTCAAGGACTCGCTCAAGAACATTATGCAAAAAAGAGTTTGCATGCAAGCTTTCTCCAAATTCAATAGCCTACATTATAACAGAAATAGAAGGGTAAAAGGGAAGAGTTAATAAAAATAAGATTAGCTAGCAATTTGTTTTGCATATATATTAGATACAACACACTTGATGAAATCATTTCTTGCATATGAGATACAACATTGTCATTTAACTGCATACACAGTGCTACAGCCTCTCAATTTGCTTTTAAGACAGGCATCCCAAGAAGTTCCTATAAAACCACCTTTAGTAAATATCTGATAAGCACTCATAATGCCTCACCAACAAACCAAAAGGTATCTATGTTGAACAAAGAAATAAAACATATTCAAAAGAATTAAACTGATTGCAAAATTTTCAGGGAAGAAAGCTGATCACAGAAGTTTAGCCAAATGAACACAAGTTGCCAAAAAAAAAAAAAAGTATGTATAAGCATGGATACTCAGTCAACTACTAAATAATGAGCAAACGAAAGGTCTGCAATTAGGTACAAAAAAGGGCCATTGCACCAAAATAATAATAAAAAATACAAACCACATTTTTTAAATTGATAACAAAAGCATAACATCTGAAACACCATTTTCAGCCATATGCAAACTCGATGAATCAATACCAGAGAAACGAAAAAACCTTGCAATCCTCACCTGCAAATTCAGAGGCGATGGAGTTCCGTTACCCACAAAGACCATAAATGCACCAAACAGAATAAACACAACAATAATTAAGCTTACTCTCAATTCAAAGCCTCAATCTTTATCTAAGCTAAGCAACAACAAAAAAAGGCATTGTAAAAAGCAACAGAAAAATTACTGAGAGTAACGTAATTTATACCAATAAATTACCATTCAAATTCAATTTTGAAGTAACCCACCCCAGTTACCCCACCACATTTCCGAAAGACTAAACAAAAACACAACAAACTCACCCCAAATTTTCCATTTTATTCGCTATCTTTCAATCAATCAAACGTACCCTTTAAACTTTTTCATCAAACATTATATAAACAAATTAAAATCCTAATTCCAAAACAAACCCCTGTTTTAAAAATTTCTTATCTGTCTTCATAAAGCAATCAGAAAATGCAAGCGCACAAACAAATTACGGAACCTTGGGGAAGAGATTGATGGTACAGAAGACGGATAACCTGAGGTGGGAGCTTCGTGCACCATCCTTGGCTGTTTCGTGTTGTACGATTAAAAAGGAGAGCAAAACGGAAAACAAAAACCGAAGATCACTTCGCATCAGCTCTCGATTTCCCCATATTCAGCTAAACCGCAATAACCTATGAGAATCGTTCAAAAACGAAAAAACCCCGATATATATAAAAGAAAAAGTCGGATTTGAGGAAAATAGAGATGAAAAAAATACCCAGAAGAAGGAGAGGATGAGACGCTGTATAATGCAGAATGAGAAAGGAGGGAGGCACTCGAGAACAACGTTTTAGTTTTCTGAGAAAGAAAACTCCAGAAGCAGAGGAAGAGCGCTCACCGGTCCACTTCCCTTCTACGATGGCTGACACCCAGACCGAAGAGGCAAATCAGTAAATGGCTCATTTTACTATTCCATCGATTAAAACTTTATTTCTTTTTAATTTTTTTATCAAGATTTTTGGATTATTTTTTATTTTTAAATATATTTCTTTAATGTTAAAAATGTTACTATTAATATATTTATATTTATGATTAAAAATTTTATCATATATTTTGTTTTTTAGTTTGTATCCACTTTTAATTTGCAACCTTTATTTTAAATTTGTAGTATTTTCTTTTTAGTTTTAATTTGTACCATGTAATTTTTTTTCGCGCCCATATTTTTAAAATTTTCATTTGTACTCATAATTTTTTAATCTTTTTGTTATATGTGTGTTTGGGCCCAAAATAATAGTTTGGACCGAGGGTAGGATCATACTCGGCCCGGGAGGCCGTGCGGCAAAAGGACCATGGATCGTTCAGCTCGTGGGCTTCCAAGCCTAGGTTAGTTAGATCAGAACGCAAGTCGAGTCCTAGTACAATAGGGAGTCTCGACGAGATCAATAATCCAGAAAGCGAATCCGGCTCAGTTAAGGACTAGATTCATAGTCCTAGTGAAGATAGGACTGGTCGAGGTGTTGTTGACCCGGAAAGGGAGACCTAATCCGAGTAGGAGTTTAACTCGGATTCAAGGTCCAGTGCTATAAATAGGGGAGGCTATGCGTCAGTGAAGGGCTCCAACTCAACACACAAAACTGCCCTGCGCAAACTCTCTCAACAACTTGAGATTTTTATTTTCTCTTTTCGCTGACACATCTTCCGTTGGCATCAACAGCACTGTGAAAGCAACTGGTGACATCTTAAGTCGGCATAGATAGCTCTGTCATCGTAGAATCAGTCGGTCTCGCAGTATCTTCCGTTGGCATCAACAGCACTGCGGCGAGGACGGTTGGTTATCTATCCAAGTCTCGGTCGAGAAGGATTTCTGAATCCTTATTGATTGAGGTCGTCTTATTAGCTTTCTCGGCGAAGTAAGGCGTTACATTAGGCTCGGCACATTGCACGCCGAGGTTGTTCATGATTGGATACTCACAGGTGGGATTTAGAGTTCGGCATTCCAACGGCCGAACCACGTTCATTATCAAGACTTACGTCCGTTTTGAGTATCTGTGCCCCTACACCTTGGTGTTTATTCGGCGTGAGTTTACTCTGACGAATACTATCACTGTGACCGAATCTGACGACGACGACTCGTGAACTTCGTAAAAATAGTAGCCTTGTCTTCAGGCTTGAGAACCCAAGAGGCCGAGGTGTGTTCCTTTCTCGGCCGCAGTCGCAAGACACAGAAGTTAGCCGCGCACCCAACGCAACATCAACAAATTTACTCCTCGGCCGAGCTCGGCCGACGAGTTGGCACGCCCCGCATTCACCGAAGGACGTAGTTAG